GTGTCCACACCAAAGTGCGCATTCCCACATATCACAACTGTAAATTCAGTGCCAAATGTTCTCCCAGCTCAGGCTGGACGCCCCATAAATGTAGATTGTGTGCCAACTGTCACGTATGCACCACTACACACAAGCACTGTTCCCACAGTTATAAACACTTCCCCAGTAAAAGCGGGAAGTTGTATAAGAGTAGCGCGTGTGCCCGCTGTTATGCACGCACCCCAACTCACAAACACTGTTTATATGGCCAAAAACCTCCCGCCACGAGCGGGAAGTTTTATGAAAGTGGCGCGCGTGCCTACCACAGTTTATGCACCCCCACCCATAAGCACTATACACACAGTGTTAAACATTTCCCCATCTCACTCTGTGAGCATTACAGCGAGCGTGCCTGTAATCTCACACGCACCCCTGCACTCGGCATTCAACAAAGCTGCTCAGCGCGCGCCCGCGCCGCTGACAGCTGTGAGCTCGGTACTAACACAGAACGATTCGCTGGCGGGAGCCATACGTCACTGCGACACGCCCCCGGCCAGCATTCAGCCCATATCTGTGCGAGCGAAAGCTTGGGAAAATATCCCCGACATGCCGAAATGGGTTTTGAACATAATAAAACACGGTTACTCGCTCCAATTCGCTCGCAGACCGCCCCGCTTCACAGCAGTGGTAGAGACGAAAGTGAGAAAAGATGTTTCACATGTTCTACGCACCGAGATGCTCAAACTAATAGAGAAAGGCGCTATGGAAACAGTGCCCCCCTCTATGAGCGAGGCAGGTTTTTACAGCCGCTATTTTCTCGTCCCGAAAAAGGATGGTGGTCTCCGCCCCATTCTGGATCTCAGACATCTGAACAAAGCTTTAATGATTCGCTCGTTCAGAATGTTAACAACCAAGCATATCCTCGCGCAAGTTCGCCCGGGGGATTGGTTTCTGTCAGTGGATCTGAAAGACGCGTACTTTCACATTCCAATAGCGCCTCATCACAGGCCATTTCTGAGATTCGCTTTCGAGAGACAGTCATACCAGTACACAGTACTACCATTCGCCTGTCACTGGCACCCCGTACATTTACGAAATGTATGGATGCAGCACTTTCCCCCCTGAGACAGCGGGGAGTGCGAATACTAAATTATCTCGACGATTGGCTAATATTAGCACAATCAGAGAGCCAGTTAGTGACACACAGGTCTTGGGTTATCAGTCATCTAGAGTGCCTGGGTCTAAAAATCAATTTTGCAAAGAGCATGCTATCCCCCAGCCAGAATATTTCTTTTCTGGGAATAGTGCTCGACTCAGTACAGATGACAGCGCGCCTCTCATCAGAGCGCGCGCTCACTATTCGGCGCCTTGCAACATCGTTCAGAGCGGGTGCGCGCGCCCCCGTCAAGCGATTTCAGAGGATGCTCGGTCTCATGGCCTCAGCATCAGCTGTACTCCAGCTAGGATTGTTGCACATGCGTCCTCTCCAACGCTGGCTCAAAAGCCGTGTCCCCACTCACGCGTGGCGCTCGGGCCACTTTTTAATCAGAGCAAATCACGGCTGCATAAAAGCCCTGACGCCCTGGAAAGCTGTCGACTGGTATCAGTCCGGCGTGAGTTTGGGCGTGAACACAAGGAGAAAAATGATCACGACAGATGCCTCCAAAATAGGTTGGGGGGCCCTTTACGAGGGCAGGCCTGTCTCCGGCTTATGGTCAAACCCGGAGAAGCGCCTACATATAAACTGTCTGGAATTGAAAGCGGTCGCTTTGGCTCTCAGAGCCCTGCTTCCGTACCTGAAGGACGAGCACGTCCTAGTCCGAACGGACAACATGACGGTAGTCTCGCATATAAATCGTCAGGGTGGACTCAGATCGAGCTCCCTGCACTCGATGGCCAGGGAGCTCCTCCTATGGTCCCAGCGCAACCTGCGCTCGCTGAGAGCAGCGCATGTGCCAGGTGTTCTGAACCAGGGAGCGGACATGCTGTCCAGAGACAAAGTTCTCCCAGGAGAATGGTCTCTCCACCCCCTGACGATTCAGTGGTTATGGCAAACCTTTGGCAGAGCAGAGGTCGACCTCTTTGCCTCCAAGGAAAATGCGCACTGCCCTCTCTTCTTTTCAAAGAGCACAGACGCGCTCGCCCAAGTCTGGCCGAGCCGCCCGCTGTATGCCTTCCCTCCGGTCGCGATGCTACCTCAGGTCATCAGTCGGATCAGGGAGGAGAAATGTGCAGTGCTCCTGGTAGCCCCACTCTGGAAGAACCAGACGTGGTTTCCAGAACTGATGCAGATGATGCAATCTGCCCCATGGCCGATTCCACTGAGGCTAGATCTCCTCAGGCAGGCCAACGGGATGATCCTCCATCCCCGCCCCGATCTGTGGGCCCTCCATGCGTGGCCCCTCAACGGATTCCCGGGAACCTCCCCAGTGGAGTGTTGAGAACCATCACTGAGGCGCGAGCGCCCTCTACGAGGCGCTTATATGCCCAGAAATGGAAGGTGTTCAGTGACTGGTGTAAACCCAGGAACCTGAACCCTGAGACATGCGAAGTACCGAGTGTGCTCGTTTTCTTACAAGAGCTGTTGGAGGCAGGCCGCACCCCCTCCACGCTCAAAGTATATGTGGCTGCCATAGCGGCATCACATGAACCGGTCAAAGGACGCACACTAGGGAAAAACTACCTAGTTGTTCGTTTCCTGAGGGGCGCCAGGAGGATGAATCCCCCACGCCCCCCCTCGGTGCCGATTTGGGACTTGGCCACGGTCCTGGACGCACTTAAGCGTGCCCCGTTCGAACCCCTCCGAACTGTGCACCTTAAACAGCTCTCGCTCAAAACTGCTCTCTTGCTGGCTCTCGCCTCAGTTGAGAGTGGGCGATCTGCACGCGCAGTCTTCAAGCGCTAACTGCCTGGAGTTTGGACCTAACGACAGCAGGGTTGTCCTCAGGCCAAAACACGGGTATATTCCTAAGGTGCTCTCTACTCCTTTCAGAGCACAGGTGATATCTTTAGCCGCGCTATCGTCCCCAGCAGACGAAAGTGACGCTAATTTACTCTGCCCGGTCAGGGCACTCAGAGTATACTTGGAACGCTCTGCTCTGTTCAGACAGACAGAGCAGTTATTCGTATGCTTTGGCGGCCGCACTAAAGGTCTGGCTGTGTCAAAGCAAAGAATATCGCGCTGGATAGTTGATGCTATAGCGCTGGCTTATGAAGCCAAGGGCCTTCAGTGCCCCTTGGGCATCAGAGCTCACTCTACGAGAGGCATGGCCTCCTCGTGGGCGTGGTCGAGTGGGATACCCATTCAAGATATTTGTGCGGCTGCAGGCTGGGCCTCACCGTCCACATTTATCAGGTTTTATAACCTACAGGTCCCCTCATTGCATTCTAACATACTGTCGGTCTAACCATCATAGGCTGGGGTGTGTACATGCTGAGCATTGTCTCCTCCCTCATAGAATCACATCTTTGAACTGATGTGGAGGTTTTTCATACATGACAGTACATGAAATGTGCTTGTGTGTGTCTCTGGACGCCCATCGGGCAGTTCCACGTTGTCCTTTATAGAACCCGCCTTCGGCTGGCTCGTTGGATAATTACTTTGCTCAAAGGCTCAGGCTTCGGCCTCCGGCTTAATAGAAGCGAAGTCAGCACGCACGGCGTTTTACATGGCGTTCCCATAGCGTAAGCTTACGCAATAGGAGGAACCTCTCGAAAGGGAACGACTCGGTTACTAACGTAACCTCGGTTCCCTGAGAGGAGGGAACGAGTATTGCGTAATCTGCCGTGCTTGTGCTTGGTCAGTTTGCTTCAGTCGAATTGAACCTAAAGAACTCAGACGGGGCGCCCAATATATAGCCCTTGGCCACGCCCATCTCGGCGGGCTCTGACGCGCGTGGGCGCGAAGCACGCTCATTGGAAGCGGGTTCAGAGTCGCCCCGTCATTGGTTCGTGCAAGTTGCCGCAGCACAGCCAATGACCGAGCTGCCTCGCTCATTGCTGTATGCTGTGCAGCTGCAATGCGTTTTACATAAAGACTTCAATATTTCTCGAGAAAAGGAGTTTTCCCATAGCGTAAGCTTACGCAATACTCGTTCCCTCCTCTCAGGGAACCGAGGTTACGTTAGTAACCGAGTCGATTTTTCAGCTAAGTTTGCTCTGTCGCCGCCTACTCGAGAATATGCAGCGCGCATTTCAAAGAGGAGGATTACGTTACCACTCAGGGGATGCCAAGATGGTCTCACTTAGTTTAAAGAGTGAGAGGATGGCTAAGTTACTTCCTACCGCCGTGCCGTCTGTGAATGCAAACCTCTCTGCCTGCCCTGTCCCGAGGTCGAGAGACACCGTCTGCCGCAAGCGAGATATTGCCACGGTAAGTTCATGCTAACGTTAATGTTTACAAGCTGCGTGTTAGCTAGCTCTGTGTGTTTTTTGTATAGCTACCGTGTTCCCTTTGACACAGCCTCCACTACACGATCACTCTGACATTAGAAGAGCATTTTTCGTGATTCACGAATTTGAGCCAAAACAAAATTGCCCTGAAGTAAATGCCCATATCGTCATGAAAGCTTCATGGCTAGTGTTTGGATCAGTAGTGATGATCATCAAGCGGCTTTCGCAATCGTGTTGCTTTTTGTGTTAGACTGCTACGGTTCTCTTTCACATTTGACCGTGACCGTGTCGCCAGGGCTGTATGGAGGCTAAACGCAGTTTACCCACCGCTGAAATTATGTCAGAAACAGTTTATCCACTTCTCACTTCAGAGTTTAGCTACCTCTCAGTAAATTCACTACCTCATAGAGTTTATGTAACTTTACCACATGTATTACCACTAGTATTGGTGTAAACATTTAATTGTAACATTCAAATCATCAAATATGTTCTGAATTTCTTTTATGTATTTTTTAAAACATTTAGGAGCGCATTTCAGGGTCCACTGTACTGTAATCTCCCTGGCAATCTCGTAACATTCTGTTTACTGTTTACTGTTTATGTATGAAAGTTGTTGAGGTGCGGATCTTAAACTAGATGACAACCGCTACAGATTGTTCAGGCAGAACAATAAATCACTGGGTCCATGTCCACAATAAAGTTTTTACTGTTGTCTTTCGATTCATACATCAGTATGGGTGTGGTTCTATAAATGAACAATAATAACAATAATGAATATAAATACAATGAGGCAGAAACAGTATTAACTGGACAATATAAAAGTAATGCAATGGCATGAATATAAAGACATATTTATACAAGTCCAGCAGCTGTAAATTTCCTCAGGTTTATACACATTCACATTAAATAACCTATCAGATGAAACCGAATTGAATATTTCCACATAATAATCAAAAGGTAACATTCAAAGTCTAATTCAGCGTGTTTTATGCTGAAATGAATGTGCGATCGATCTTACGTGCGCATTGATTACCTCAAAGAAATAAACGAACTTTTAGTATTACAATATAACATAGCAGCAAATAAATCTACCAATATATACATGAAAGAGTATTTAACTACTTACTTTTAAGATGTACGCACACAGTATGAACAAAAATCCGCTAGAAATCGAACCAAATTGGCACGGAGATCACCACAAAACTGCCGCAAACTTTAGCAACAGTTACATGTCTGGGCATGAACGATCTTTTATTGACATTCAGTTCCTCTGATCTTAACCAATGAAATAGCAGAAATGATAGTCAGGTGATTCAGAAATAATACGTATATCCTAAAGTGCAACAAAATAAATGTCCAGCAGAGGGCACCAGCGTCATTAAAGTTTAGCCTTTTGTACAGCCGCCCCCGAATTTGTTTAACAAATTTGTAATTAAAGAAAAGGCTTGTTAGTCTTTGTTGGTGTCATCAGGTAGGGCAGGCAGTTTAATTAGTCGAGCCACAGGCCTTGTGTAACTTTTGTGTTTGACATTCACTACCGCTGTGCGGACTCGTCCATCTTGTCCAGGAATGACTTTGGCTACAGTACCTATTTGCCATAGGGCTCTGGGTGCTTGCTGGTCGACGATCATCACAACTTCACCAGTTTGAAGGTTGTCTGATTCTCTTTGCCATTTTTGTCGTCGCTGTAAGTCTGGGAGGTAATGCCGTATGAAACATTTCCAGAAATTTTCAATTAGAATCTGGCTATGGCGCCATCTCCTACGACTGAGCATTTCTGATTCCGGATAAACAACCTGTGGTAATCCAGAAGTTGGACGTCCCATGAGGAGGGAATTAGGTGTCACTGGGTCTATATCTGCTATGTCTGAGGAAACATATCCCAATGGTCTGGAGTTTAATATTCCCTCTATTTCCACAAGTACCGTGTTCAATACTTCCTCTGGCACAGATTGAGAACCGAGAGAGGTACGCAGTGCAGTCTTGATAGATCTAACCTCTCTCTCCCAAGATCCACCAAAATGCGGTGCATTTGGTGGGTTTAGACGGAAGTTAATCTGTTGAGAGGCCAGATTCTCTTTCAAGATTGGGTGAAGTGCATTGAAGGCATTCTGAAGTTCTGTAATACCTCCTTTGAAATTTGTGCCATTATCAGAAAGCACTTCATATGGTTTCCCTCTGCGGGCTATGAACCTTCTTAACGACATGAGAAAGGAGTCTGTGTCAATGCTCGATAGAAGTTCAATATGGACAGCTTTGGTAGTAAGGCACTTGTACAGTATTCCCCAACGTTTTTCACATCTGCGTCCAAACTTAACCTGGAAGGGGCCAAAACAGTCAATGCCCGTTGAATAGAAAGCTGGACGAAACAGTCTAAGATTAGACTGGGGGAGATCTGCCATCATGGGAATTTCTGGCCTCCCTCGCCATTTCTTACATTCAAAGCAACTGCGCTGGTGTCTTTTTACTGCCTCTCTGCCTCTTATGATCCAATATTTTCGTCTCAGTTCTGCGAACACGCGCTCGGGTCCTGGATGTAACAGGAGGTTGTCGTGATGTTGAATCAGAAGCTTTACAAGAGGGTGAGCAGGATCTAAGACTATAGGGTGGAGAGTGTTTGAGTCCAAGTGCTTACATCTGCGGAGGCGTCCACCTACCCTGACTAATTTGGCTTTGTGATCATACTCTGGGGCTAGAGTTAGAAGACGACTAGAGTGAGGTACAGGTTTACCTAACTGGAGTTGGGCTGTTTCTTCTGGGAAGCTTTCAACTTGAGCACGTCTCAGAAGTTCCTGTTCAGCTTGTGTATAGTCGTCAGCAGAGAGTTCACTTTCGTCTGCCGCCCCATGAAGGGAAATAGCAGTAGCCTTAATCAGATCTTGAAGAGAATTGTATTGAGAGATATCTGGGATATCAGTTTGACTGGAGGATAGCGCTCCACAGAAAGTAGAACTGCGGTGTTCTTGGATGTCATCGCCTACAGCATCAAGTGGCTGTTTTGGCCAAACACTAACTGGCTGAGTTAAGAACTGTGGTCCTTGATTCCATCGGCTTTGTGTTGAGAGTTTAAAGAGAGTGAGTCCTCTGGTAATGTCGTCTGCTGGGTTCAACTCTGAATTGACATAACGCCAGGCTTTTGGGTCTGTAAGGTCTTGTATCTCAGCCACACGCGTTCCGACAAACACCTTATAGTTGCATGAGTCTGATTGAAGCCAAGTCAATACAGTTGTGGAGTCAGTCCAGTACAGTTCTTGATCAATCTTGATGGTCAGTTCTTTTCTCAAAGTAGCAGCCAGCTGAGCACCAGTGAGGGCAGCACAGAGTTCGAGTCGCGGTATAGACTGTTGTCGTTTGGGTGCTACTCTCGATCTCGCAGCAACAAATGAAACCTGAGTTTCACCATGTTTATCACTTGTACTGATATATGCAACTGATCCATATGCACGTTCTGATGCATCACAGAATATATGCATGGTTCGTTTGTTAGCTGATAGTTCAGTATTTGCCTTGGTGTAACATCTTGGGAATGTGACATGTGGTAGTTGTGTCAGCTCACTCTGCCAGGTCAACCAAGCCTGAAGTAGATCTTTGGGAAGATCTGGGTCATCCCATTCACGTTTCTTGTCCCATAAGCGCTGTATAATGATTTTGGCTCTTGTTGTGAATGGAATTAGGAAGCCCAATGGGTCATATTGGCTTGCAAGGGTTTTGTAAATGTTCCGCAATGTTGGAACAGAATTTTCCTGATGTTTGTATCTGTAACCAAGAACATCTCAAGAGCACTGCCAGCGTAGGCCCAGAGTCATCTCTTGTGGGTCTGCTCCACTTTGAGTGAACCAAAGGTGACTGTTTGTAGATTTCAGCTCATCCGGGAAATGAGTGATGACTGATGGAGTGTTAGTGGCCCACTGCCTCAATTCAAAGCCACCTTCTGATAGAAGTTTCTGCATCTTAGTTACAAGAGTCTGTGCTTCATCAACTGATGGGAAACTTTGCAGCCAGTTGTCTACATAAAAGTTGTGCTCTACTGAGGCATGAACATCTTCTTCTGGAGTGCTGTGATCATAAACGTGTTTCTGCAAAGCGAAGGTTGCACAACAGGGGCTACAAACTGTCCCAAAAGGCAATACCTGCCACTCATAAACAGTGGGGGCTGTTTGCTGGTCCAAGTTTCTCCAAAGGAAACGGAGAAAGGGTTTGTCCTCCGGCAGCAGTACCACCTGGTGGAACATTCCTTTTACATCGCTGCTAATAGCGACAGCATTTTCTCTGAAGCGCAGGAGTACACCTAAGAGGGTTGGTCCAAGTGTAGGGCCAGGCAGTAGATGGTCATTTAAGCTTGTTCCTTTGTACTTAAATGAGCAGTTGAAGACAATTCTGTGCTTTTCATTGTGTTGAACAATGTGGTGTGGTATGTACCATGCACAATGGCTTTTATCGGTCTCCTCTGGTGTCAGCTTTGAGATATAGCCCGCATTTTCAAGTTTCTGCACTTCTTTAACGTACACTGAAGCAAGATCTGTGTTCTGCAAAAGGCGTTTTTCTGTGCTTCTTAAATGAGCTGTTACTGCTTCTTTTGCTGATTGCAAAGGTGGAAGATTTCTTTTCCAGAGGAGGGGTGTTGCATACCTTTGAATGTCTCCGACTGCCACCCTGATTGTTTTCTCCTCAAGGATTTGAACCGCTTCTGTGTCTTGCCTTGATCTTGTGATCAGTTTCTCACTCCGATACGGAAGTGTGTCCATTTGCCACAATTTCTGTACATTGTTGAACAGTTCGGCTTCTGGTGACAAAGTGGAGGTTAATAGACACTGCTGTGGTGAGAGCTGACTGGAAAGGAATTTTGAGGGGCCCTGCAGAGTCCACCCGAGTCTGGTTTTCACAGCGGCAGGACCACCAGGAGGTCCGAGACGTACTGGCTCTGTGGCTGTGATTAAATGGGGATAATCTGAGCCAATGAGTAAGAGTGGTTGAGCCTGCTGCAGTGAGGGAATGGGCAGACCTTGTAGATATCTGTATTTCTTCTGCAGCAACTTAACAGGGTAAGTGTGTTTTGCGAGGCTCAGTTCTTTGGCTGTAAAAGCTCTTTCAATGGTGAAGGGTTTGTTTGGCTGGAATGCAGAAGCTACTGAGAATGAAACAGCCGCCCCATGAACAACCCGTATGTCTTGTCTCACAGTACGGAGGGCTATATCTTCAGGAAGTCCTTGAAGATCAAGTTGCTGTGCTGCTTCATACAGTAACATTGTCCTCTCTGAACCGTCATCCAGTATAGCGTATGTGTCAAGTTCCTTCTCTCCATTTCTCAAGATCACTCGGCTGACCTTCAAAAGAACTTTACTGCTTGCAGTTGGTCTGTCCAGATACAAAGTCTCCACTTCTGAGTTCACAAGACAACTGTTTTCTGCTGAAGCTTGTGTTTCATGTTTACCTTTGGCATTGAAGTCATGCAGTATTTCTAAATGTCTCTTTTCACATTTTTTGCATTTGGCTTTAAGATTACATTGTGAGATCTGGTGATCACGGCCACACTTAAAGCACTTCTGATTTGACTTCAGCCAGCACTCCACTTGATCTTGATTCAGCAGTTTGAAATTAGCACACTGATTGAAGTAATGCTGCACAGTATTGCAAAAGGGGCAGTACTTTGTCGGTTTCTCCTTCTTGACTGCTGTAGCACTTGCCGGTTTACTCTGTTCACTACCATGCAAGACAGTAGCAAATCGTTGAACTGGCTTGAAGTTCCTTTGCTGGTCTCTCTGTGGCTGAGAGTTGGCTCTGCTTCCATTACTAGCATACTGTGACTCATCCTCTTGTATTCTGAGCTCATATTCAAGCCAATCGCTGAGTTCTATCAGTGTTGGAACTGGGATTTGAATGGGGTTAACAAACCTTCTGAAGTTCGCTTTAAGATCATGAGGCAGTTTGGCAAGAAGACGTGAAACATGTGACCCACATTTAAGCTCTGTCCATCCTTTAGCTCCAAGTTGGTCCAGCATTCCAACTAATGCACGCACTTTGAGGGCGAACATTCTAAAAGATTTAATGTCACCACTCCTGATTTTTGGGCCATCCATCAATTCTGCAATTCTTTGTAAAGCGAGTTGATGTGGTTGACCATAAAGTGCAGTTAGAGACCTCATGGTGTTGGTGTATGGGTACCTGCTGTTGACATACGAGTCTGCAATGAGCAAGGCATTCTCCTGTTTCAGATGATCAACAAGTATTTGGTACTTAAAACGTTCTGTAGCCTCAACAGGTAGCAAATTCTCCAGTGCAATTTTGAGTCGTGCAAACTCTCTGGGATCCTCACTGCAAAAATTAGGAATGGTGGGAATGGGACCTCTGTAGGTAGGCTCTACACGAGGATATGGAGGAGAAGGAGGACGCACTGGGTGGTATGGCTGATATGTCTCAGGCTGAGCGTAATCTGTGTACTGTCGTGGGGTCAAGAATCTTGATTTGTCTGCAGGATTAGGAGCTGATTGACCATAGCTGTCTGAGTGTCTCTCATAGTGTGCATGGTGAGCTAGTGTATCCCTTAGAGTAAGTCTCTCATCTTGATAGACTGGACTTGTAGCTGAATAACCATGATAAGGTTGCTGATAACCGTGTGGTTCAGTGGAAGGGAAATAGCCGACGGGTTTGCAGTTCAGACTATGATCTTTATAAGTCCCATACGTAGCTGCTGTCACTTGGCTGTAGTCCTGAGGCATAAACTGAACAGCTGCGGGATATTGGTTGCGATCTCTTTGGTCAATGGACATATAGTTATGGCCCCTGTGGTCCGTGTTGTAGTAACCACGTGGTCTGTCTATGTGCCTAATACCAAGTTGAGGATATGATGCATCTTCTTGATGAGCTAGCTTATGCTGGGATTGAGTTGGTTCATAAGGAGAGAAGGGATGACTTGAAGTTAACCGATTTGCAGAGCCTGGTAATCTCAGTTCTCCTAGGTTGTCAGTGAGATAATCAATCTCTTTGTGACTGACTGAATGAGAATGCAGAAGGTCACCTCTAGAATCTACAGGCAGTGCCCTCATGGGCTGAGGAAGATCGTCTTGATCTCTAGGCAGAACTGACCTGCCCTCAGTGGCTGCTGTATATGGACTTGAGGAGAGAACTCTCTGATCTGCATAAATTATTCGCCTTGGAGAAATCCGAGTACGGGGCATTGGCTGCGGCAAACCTTCATATGTCTCCACGAACGAACTCCTTTCACTTGATCCAGTGCTCATACTTTTCGTTGGTTCTGGTCCGCTTTCAGTACATGGAAACTCTTTAAATGCAGGCCTTTTACCTGGTTCAGGTCCAGTGGCACCATTTGTAGGCTGTTCATCAGAATGAAGTAACTGATGTGGCACTGTGTAATCAACATAGAAGTCATCTAAGTATCTTGGTGGGATGACCTGTCGGCGTGGTCGAACCACTGGTGAATCTGACGTAGCCTGTTTTCCTGTTCTGGACATGGTGATGCTGTAGTAGCTGTCTGATCCGGCTCGAAGGACCAATTTTTGTATGAAAGTTGTTGAGGTGCGGATCTTAAACTAGATGACAACCGCTACAGATTGTTCAGGCAGAACAATAAATCACTGGGTCCATGTCCACAATAAAGTTTTTACTGTTGTCTTTCGATTCATACATCAGTATGGGTGTGGTTCTATAAATGAACAATAATAACAATAATGAATATAAATACAATGAGGCAGAAACAGTATTAACTGGACAATATAAAAGTAATGCAATGGCATGAATATAAAGACATATTTATACAAGTCCAGCAGCTGTAAATTTCCTCAGGTTTATACACATTCACATTAAATAACCTATCAGATGAAACCGAATTGAATATTTCCACATAATAATCAAAAGGTAACATTCAAAGTCTAATTCAGCGTGTTTTATGCTGAAATGAATGTGCGATCGATCTTACGTGCGCATTGATTACCTCAAAGAAATAAACGAACTTTTAGTATTACAATATAACATAGCAGCAAATAAATCTACCAATATATACATGAAAGAGTATTTAACTACTTACTTTTAAGATGTACGCACACAGTATGAACAAAAATCCGCTAGAAATCGAACCAAATTGGCACGGAGATCACCACAAAACTGCCGCAAACTTTAGCAACAGTTACATGTCTGGGCATGAACGATCTTTTATTGACATTCAGTTCCTCTGATCTTAACCAATGAAATAGCAGAAATGATAGTCAGGTGATTCAGAAATAATACGTATATCCTAAAGTGCAACAAAATAAATGTCCAGCAGAGGGCACCAGCGTCATTAAAGCTTAGCCTTTTGTACAGTTTATGTTTGCTATAATTCATATGCAGGACAATTTCATGTGTTTCCATTAGTGGCAATGATCTTTATACAGTATTATTATTATGTCTGCAGGTTATGCAACATCATTAATGAAGGCCCTTCGGGAAAGCTACACCAATTCACCTGCAGCTCTTTGAGAGGTTAGCGCCAGTTTGTCCTGATGCACCCGCCCCCATCGCCACATCCTTCAAACTGGTTCCTGAGGAGGCCGTCAGCCTCTACCTAGCCCGGCAGTCACGCTACAAGAACCTAATTTCACATTATTTTCTTTCCACAGACAAGTCCAATGATTTAGTTGTAAGTAATTATTTATTTTAGTTGTTAGTTATCTTCTTTCCTTCTGTCCGTCATCTCATTTAGTGGTGGTTTCCTGCATTCTGCATGTTTTGTTTTTTTCTTTGTGTGCTGTTGCTTTGGTTCTACTTTGCACAAAATCATGACTTTTTTTCTTAGGCTATTGATTCCCGTGATCTTGCTTATAAATTACGATTCAGCAGGGCCGGCCCGAGGCATAAGCGAACTAAGCGGCTGCTTGGGGCCCCTTGGCCACCAGGGGGCCCCCCAATCGAGTCGAAAAATCGAAAAATATTTTTTTAGATGACTTAAACAAGTGACATAAATGAATGAATTAATATGAATGAATGAATGAATAATTAAAGACAAGAAAATTCAGATTTCATGATCAATATACCTCCCTACAACTGCTGCTGTGTCTGCCAGCGTTTAAGTCATGCGCATAATAGACACCTCGCGCGTGCATAGACAATTCGTGCGCAACTGCGCATAGTCGCGGACTCGCAGTAATGTTAAAGGTTCTCTAAGCGATCCTGGGTGACGTCACTTCTTGTTTACGTTCGAACTATTGTCAAACAAAACGGAGGCTAGCTAGACCCTCCCTCCTCCTCATCCGCACACTAACCCCCCAAACCCCGCCCCCAAACCCTTCTTGTCGGTCATTGGCTGGAACAGTTTGTTATGTTTTGGGGAGCGGGTCGCTGCAGTTTGCTTTTGTTGCTGTTTGTGGAGCCTGGGCTGTCTACAGAGATCACGTTTCTTTACAGTGTGTTCAGGGGACAGGCATCCAGCGGATAGTGAGGAGATGTTTGCTGTATGTGACAAAAAATGTTTTGGCCTAAAAAACGCGTGACATCGCTTAGAGCACCTTTAAGCCCACTGATCTATATAGAATTATATAGATCGGTGGTTAAGCCATGTCACAAAAAAGTTTCCCTCTGGTGCCGAAAATAGAACGAAGAAAATGACAGAGGAGGAGAAAAAAAGAGCAAGATAAAAGTATGTTTGCATGATTATTTACGGTATGTTTTGAGCAGCATTGAACCATTCCTATCTACGGCAAGCCCAGAGGGGAAAAATACATTGCATACACACACAGATACAACGAGCACATCATTACCGGTATTATAGTAACAGACTTTGTTGGATTCTGTCATGTACAATCCAACAAAGTCTGTTACAATAATAATAATAATAATAATAATATTTTGTGGACAGTTACACTGTATTGAGACAGTTGAGAAATAATAATATTTTTACAGTTTTCAAGAATAATTGTCATTGTTGAACCCTTGCTCTTATTATGTTTTTAATTTCTCAGTTGTCATTTTTTTAGCAAATAATTTATTTGATATGTTTTGAGACAGTTTGTTTTAAGAAGTTTCAAAGAGTTAGTAAAAGAGTAAAGTAAAAGTAAAAAAAATATTTAAGTAGGCTATCTATTTTTTATTAAGTATTTATTTTGTATTTATACATAACCTCATTGTATTAATTTATAATGTGTCATTATTGCGTGATATTTGTGTCAATAATCGTCAAGCACATGTGACTCCGCGTAGTGGGAGGGGCCCCCAAATCAAATTCTGCTTAGGGCCCCCAAAAGGCTCGGGCCGGCTCTGTGATTCAGCCATTAGCCTACCTTCGTGATCACGCAAAGAGGTCTGGAGAGGCGGTCCGTTCAGAATTACAACCAACATAAAATATAAGTGTGCATGTACAAATTTGCAGTAATGTTTGGTAAATATAAACTTTATTAACATAAAATGAAACCGGATAGATAGTTAATGAGTGAATTACCTATGTTCCTAAACATGATCCATAACTGTTAACGGGATTCATTTCAGTATGGCTAATGTACCCCTTCATCCTACCCTAATCATCATAGACTAAACCATATCAGAAAACACACACAAATACATGTATATGATGTACAGTACACATGTATATTTGAATCACACATAACTAACCTTAACCCATACACATAATATATTAATTGTGTGTGTGTGTGTGTGTGTGTGTGTGTGTGTGTGTGTGTGTGTGTGTGTATATGTGTATATATATATATATACACACACACAATTCATTTATTTAAATGGGTTAGGGTTATGTGTGTATATATGCATAGGCATACATACATGCATGCATATGCATATATATATATATATATATATATATTATAAATAATATATACTTCAGGTTACCATAAGTTAGCTAACTTTAATGAAGAGTTGGTCATGTAAGCTATAGCTAGCTGCAATTAACCCATTATCTTCCAATAAGCATTAACTAAAACTGGCTACATAAAATATAACTACTGACTAGATTCACGAGAGGTCGGCTAATGTGTGTAAAAGTAAAACAAATACAGTAATTTCATTAATTTACCAGCGAGCGTACTTCGGAAGCACTGAAAATGAATGGGGTTCAATGGAGAAACTATCAGTGTTTGGAACTATTGGCTGCTCCACGACACGCATTACTTCCGCATTTTTAAGTTCCTATGGCGGTCTATGGGAGTGTCGCAACTCTCTCTCTCTATGGCTCTGGACCACACTATTGCAGGCAAAAGAAACAATGTGCAAACGTTTCAGGTCTAGCCCTTCATCAGTGGGCTTTTTTTTATATAGATTTGTTTACTTGCAACCTGTGTCTTTGTTCAGTAATCTTTGTCCTTGTTCAGTAAATGTTTAATAACCATTACAAGCAATGCCAATAAACTGTTTTTTTCTTATAGAAGATCATGTGTTCTGTGTACTTTATAACATTTTGAGGGCAAATTGGGCGATCACAACAGAATAAGCAATTATTATTTTTATTCATTTTCATCCAAACGAGGCGATTGAAAGCCCTGATAGGTCTGGTCACGACTTTGGAATTGTTGTCTGATGGTTGAAACCACACGAGAGGCTTCTTATAGTCCTGCCTAAAACTCCATAAGCCCAGGCCAGCGTATAGCCTGCCTGTACGCAGTGTACCGGTATTGCCTAGGGATAAGTAGGAAAGATTCTTAAGTTTTAAACTCTGTAAGTAGGTTGGAAACGTCTCTGATGCATGTTTATTGTGTATGCAACACATCTCCTGTCACCTATAGCTGTTGTTCAAAGGACTCCGTGTAAAAAATAAAAAGGTAAAGTAAACATAAACCATGAACATACTCGTGCGTGCTTGGCTTGAAGGGGACCATTATCCTGCATGAAGTGTGAGTATGCTATGTGTAGCACAAACGGATTCAGGCATTATGCCTCATATCCAGGATGCTGCGTTAGGCACGTTACAACTGCTGGCCGCGGGGTGAGGTCCTCGACCAGCGACCAAAACGCACTCACCTCCCTACAACACAAGCTCTCCACCACAGTTTCCATGGGACGACACCGCCCACACAGACACCTGTCAAACACAGCGACACAGACGCTTACAACTCACTCCCTCTCCCAGTAAGCCTGACGGTGTCAATGACAGTCACGAGGAAAACTAGTTAGCACTATCAACAATAATCACACTGACTGAAGACATGACCAGCCTACTCGTCGTCAGCTACGTTTGCAAACAAC